TGTGACGGGGATAAGGGTGTGATATTCCTTGGGTATAACAGCACGGTGGTTTGAGTGACAGCTTTTCATTAGCATTTTCTTTTTTCTGTCTTTGTCGATCCGCAAGGGATACATCAAATCTACGTCTTTTCCTTGGCAAGCCCGCTTTAGTCAATCCTTTTTTATTCTCAGGTATTACTTCACTATTTTCACATTCAGTCTCTTCACGATCAATCTTCTCACGCCCAGTCTCCTCATGATCAATGTCCTCTCGTTCAGTTTCTTCATGACCAAGCTCTTCACGTTCAGTCTCCTCACAATCAATCTCCACCCGTTCAGTCTCCTCATATTCAATCTCTCCACGTTCAGTCTCCTCGCGTTCAGTCTTTTTACGTCTAGTCTCTTTATGGACAAGTTAATTTCTTTTAATAACGGGTCCGCCAATAACTTTTTTTTTTGAAAATGCTATAAAAAAAAACTACTATATATTTATATTTTTTCAAATTTCTTTTTTTATTTGAAAGTACAATCTTTCCGGTTAATGATGGAAGATAATTTCATTCATATGGCTACCTCGGCTGGCCATGCAGTAGCCTACACGATCGGTCCAATTTTCAAGCACTTTAACGATTGTGTGCAGCTGTATTTCACCAATGGCTTCACGAATATTGTCCTTTAAAGCGTCAATTGTCTCTGGCTTGTCGGCGTAACACTTATCTTTGACGGCACCCCACAAGTAATAGTCTAACGGTGTCAAATCGCAGCTCCGAGGTGGCCAAACGACATCAGTTCTGCGGCTGATGATGCGATTTTCAAAAACAGGGCGCAAAACATCGAGTGTAGAGTCGGCTGTGTGGCACGTAGCGCCGTCCTGTTGAAACCAAATGTCGCCAATATCCTCATTTTCAATTTCTTTAAACAAAAATTCATTCAACATGGCCCGATAACGATCGCCGTTGACTGTAACGGCCGCTCCTTGCTCATTTTCGAAGAAAAATGGCCCAATTATGCCTCTGGACCAAAATCCGCACCAAACAGTGACTCGTTTTGGGTGTATCGGTTTTTCAGTGAATGCGTGCGGGTTTTCTGTGCCCCAAATGCGACAATTTTGCTTGTTAACATACCCTACAAGATCGAAATGAGCTTCATCTGAAAAGATGATTTTTTTGGCAAAATCGGCATCTTCTGCAAGTTGATCACAGGCCCATTTAGCGAAGCGAAAACGCATTGGATGGTCAGTTGGCTTCAACTCCTGAACCAATTGAATTTTGTACGGCGTCATACCAAGGTCTTTACGTAAAATTCGTCTCAGTGATGTCTCCGAAATGTCCAATTGTTGAGAACGACGGTGAACTGATGTTGATGGCGTTTCACGCACACTTTCGGCCACAGCAGCAATATTCTCGGGTGTACGCACTGTTTTTGGCTTTTCACGCGTTGGTTTATCGATGAGGATGCCAGTTTCTTTCACTTTTTTCACAAGATAACGAACATACGGAGCTGACGGTGCTTCGTTTCTTCCAAAATCCGTACGCAATTTTCGTACACATTCTGCAACATTACCATGATTTTCAAAGTAATGTCGCAATATTTCCCAGCGTTGTTCAAGCGTATACACAACCATATTCGTTCAGCGGAAGGATAAAACTAATTAACTGTCAAATCAGACATAAGCTAAGTGTTGCCATTCACGAAATAAGCACTAGTTGGAAAAAAAAACCTTAGATGGCGGACCCTGTACAAATTGGTGAAATAGAATCAGAATCTGAAAGTATAAATTCAAGACAGTAGTCTTTATTAAGAAAACTTTCGTCGGAATCTTTAAAATAATTTACAGCTCTGTTAATCTATACTTATATTAGAAATCTGAAGAGTTTGTTTTTTTGTTTGTTTGTTTGAACGCGATAATCGACTGCACGGTTGGTGCGGTGGCTGGGCAATCGGCTACAGTGCAACGTGTCGCGGGTTCGATTCCCGCACGGAACAACACTTTGTCTGATCCACAATTGTTGTTTAGGGTCTGGGTGTCATGTGTATGTAAACTTGTATGTTGGTAAACGCACCCACGACACAGGAGATAATCCTAGTGTGGGGTATCGTTTTTATGAAAACAAAACAAAAAATCTCCGAAACTACTGATTCGAAATGAATAATTCTTTTTGTGTTGGACAGTTCATATATCGAGGAAGGCAGGCTATAAAACATCTCGCTACGACCAATAGGAGCTGAGCAGAGCGGGTGAAACCGCGTGAAAGTAGCTAGTGTTTTCATATTCGTCATCAGAGGATGGTAGGGTTTCATAACACTTTAGAGAATGTCTGGTAAAGGTCGAACTAAGAGATTTTTCTGCAATCGGTTTAACTATTGATGGACTTGGAATCAGCTGGGTTTTGATTTTGCGATATAGCCAAAAAAAGATTTTCGGTAATTAAGTACTTACTTAACTTCACCGTGTCTTTAAAAAAAATAAAACGTAAGGTGAATAATTATGTTGGTGACTCCTACTAGATTTATCAAAAAAAAAAACATCAAAAGAAAAACAATGTTGCTGAAGTAATAGACGAAATTCAAAATATTCCTTTGTGATAATAGAGGTATAAGAAAAAAACAACCTCAAAAGAATTCACAAAATAATATCTACCCATTAGAAAACTAGGTACCAGGGTACCAAAAAAGAAAAATGTATTTATAAAAAATATTATTATTATACGATGAGAAATCCCTGTTTTTTGAATTCAACCTTTCCGACATGGTAGGTTACAGAGCCCCTTACAGAGCTACCGGGCGCCCAACAATTTTTGAGCGTAATGCAATCATGAATGATTTATATTCTAACATGACGGCATTTACCTTGCAACTACGTTTATGGCCCATCTTAGTGGCACACATCTGCTCATCGATGGATAAGCGCTGACTGATTGGAATGCTAGAGAACTTGATATTGAGATGTTCAATTACAGGGCGTAGCTTGTGAAGTCGGACATGCTGGGGATGATCTATTGGTAAGTGTTTAATGTTATCGTTAAAGTGAAGTACTCTTCTTATATTTTTAAATGTATTGACTGGCATCGCTTTTATAATTGCCTCAAACCCGTGCTTGTTAGTCCAGTAACCACGTACACTTGGATAGTGGTAGGCACTCATATAAATCAAGATTCCCAGACGTTTTCGCAGTTCTCCTAATGTTATTATGTCAGGTCTATCAGGTTTCTTTTGAACAGCATAATTATCTGTTTCAGTAACAATTTGTGAAAGGAATTCTGCAGTAAAAAAGTAGGAAAAAAATTGGAAAGGTGTCTGAAGGTTCATCAAACTTTTAGGGTATTCTTCATTTCCATTAAATTTTATGACATTTTCATTGAATGGCAGAGGTTCGTTTTTCCATATCAACCTCTGAATGTGTAAAGAATGTACCGGTGTATCATTATTATTTGAAAGAACAGCATTCGCTATTACAATTGGAGGATCGAATATAATTTCTTCTTTATTATCATTGGAACTAGCCTCACCGTCGTCATCATCATTTTCTAAAACACCCAATAAATCTTGTTGGGTAGGATAAAAATCACGTTCGTCACCGTCCAACTCGAAATCGTCTTCAGAAATGGCGTCATGGCGCTGGCGCAACCAAAACTCGATGTGGTGACATCGACGTCCTTCAATTTTTGAAATCGTACCTCAGCGACAGAATTCAGTATACAGAGATCTGTAGGCTATGTCCGAAAAGTAAGTTAGAAACGACGTATTTATCAAAACGAAGATATATTAAATATAGCGTCCTCAGGGCAGCGTTCTTGGGCCGCTACTTTTTCTGATATTAATGATTTACCGAAAACTACACCACACAAAATGGTCCTATTTGCAGACGACAGTACAGTCGTCATAAAATGTAAAAGTGAACTCGACTATGAAAATGAGATCAATAAATGTTTATATGATATCATCAATTGGCTTAAGAAAAATAATTTGGTAATTAACTTATACAAAACAAAGGTTTCTTTCATCAGCGTCGTCATCAAGAAAATATTAAAATCGCTTATGAAAACCATTGTATCGAGCAAACAAATAAAGCCAAGTTCTTGGGTATAGTCATTGACGACGTCCTCACCTGGAAGCCTCATGTTGAGGAGTCATGTAAAAGCTTAAGTAAATCCACATAAGCGCTTTTCTAACTTTCAAAAAAGTAAACATTCAGGCTCTTCTTGCAGCATACCATGGATTTGTTGCCTCGGTATTACGCTATGGCATACAGGGTGTATTAAGAACGCTCTCGAAACCGAAACCCTAATAATATATTACCTTAACACTAGTGAATACCAAAAACTGGTCAGATTTTATCAGTTTGAGTTGGCTGAAAACTCGTTCTACAAATGGCATGGAAAATGGCAAAACTAGCAAAACTTTTATTATTTCCTTCAAATTTGGGAACATGGGTTCTCCTGCACCATCTGTCATTTTTATTTAATTCGCTGAAGTCGAGAAAAGCGTGTTTCTTTCATTCTTTATGTAAATTATCTGTATCAGTTATAATTATATTTGGAAATCTTTTTATTACGCATGATAAATCTTTTACTTCAAATTTTTACGCTTCAATTGGGTTCAGAACATTTTCTAATAAATCAAAAAGTGAATCTTCAAAACTAAAGCGTTTTCTTATTTGTGCTAAAGCTTCGATATAAAAAGATAAACATGTTTTTCGGAAATCGGCAATTTGTGTTGGAGGTATTTCCCTCGAAAATTCATCAATCGATACCTGTGCTGCCACGCCTATATATATCTTCTCAAGTGGCAAATAGAATCTTGGATTGTCATACTCTATTTTGTAGGCATCAGTAGTCTTACAATGATTGAAATCCATAGAATTACTGGCTATTGTTTTAATTAATTTATGTACATCTGGTTTTAATTGATGTAACAGTCCATCTCCGATTGAAATAGTCAAAGTCATAGAAGAGATTTAGCACGTAAGAAATAAATTCGAGAAAAATTTTTGTAAATAAATTATTTAGACATGTATGTCTTCAGTTATTGTGCTTGGATCCTCGAATACCTACTTCCAATTTGAAGTAGTCACCGAGTATCTGATATTGTTCCAAGGTGCTATTGACACATGCCTCTAATGATAGCCACCTTGTTGTTGCCGGGCTTAATATCTTATGAATGTCGACTCCAAAAAAATCCTGAAACTCTTTTAAACTGTCAAACACCAAGCGGTCACCGGTGACCGCGACCTATTGTTCTTTAAACTGTAAAACACCAAGCGGTCACCGGTGACCGCGACCTATTGTTCTTTAATTGTGTCTATAAAACCGGTACTCGAAGAGTTAATTGTGTCTATAAAACCGGTACTCGACGAGGTAAATTGTTTTTCCTCTTAGTGCTTCGGCTAAAATGGGCTCGTATACTGCTTAAAAAATCTTCCACCGATCTTGGCAGCTTAAGGCACGCTTTAGATGCCACTAGATGGATCATATGGCACCTACACTTGATGCATGCAATATGCGGTAATCTTTGTTTTAAGTGACTAAACACAGAGTAGTGTTCGCCTACCATGCTATTCGTTGTATCGGATGCAAAACCTACAAAATTTTTTAGAGGAATTTGCCGGTCTTCAAGCCAAGTAAGTAAACTATTGCAAAGATCTTCAGCCTTTCCAGATTTTACTTCATATATGTCAAGAAACTGTGTGCGAACACAGTCTACTTCGTCATAATAGAGGTATATAACTGCGTGTGCACATTATGCAAAATTTGTCTCCTGTTTCTACACGTCCGGATCGCTTTATTATTATTTGTTAATGTTAGTAAATTCACATTCTTATGAAAAGTTTTTGTAAAAAGGTTTTGGGAAAGCATGAACAGGGCATCTTAAATTGTATGTCATTCAGTTAATCGTAAATTGACCGGCCAATTTTAATGTTGATGTGGTCCTTTTCGAACTTTTTGCGAAATACCTCCTCCATCCGTTCTATATTATTGACAAAATCATCAGGTGGGATCACCTTTTTGAAGTCATGATACTCGTAATTTAAGTGGCTGCTGCCGGCGAGAGTTGACGAACGCACGCGGTCATGTATAGCGTTTGATTTTATTTTTAAAAAGATTCTGTGTAGCTTCATATCGGTCCTCTAGCATTCTCTTGAAAGTATGCCTGGAAGGGACTTTATACAGAGGAACAGCTGTTTTCATTAAGTTTAGATATCCTTCATTTTCAACAACCTGGAATGGCTGTAAATCTTTGCAAATCATGTACAAGATAGCATTTGTAAGTCGAACGCCTTTCGTTCCATTTTCAGAAAATTCAGATATGCTGAAACTCTCATTTAGTGTCGGCTGGAATATTTTTTTGCGAATAGACGATGCACTTATGTCACTTGCATTAAAACTACAATCAAAAACTAGAATCAATTGAACTGTTTTCATATAAAGCAGAGTCAGGTATAATTCTCTCAGAAGAAGTAGAAGTAGTTGACATTAAAGGTTTTACAAATCGCACCTCCACTCAAATAGTGTCATAAGTCAAAAAACCTAACTTTCGAGTAAAACGCGTTTGAAATTAATGCTAACTTTATTTTTCACTTTTCGGCTCATAACTCAAAAACTGTCAAAGTTACCGCAACATGATTTTAAGTAAGTTACAATGATTTTTAACGCTCAACAAAATGGTAGAGTAGGTTTTTGGAATAATTTAAAAAAAAATTAGATGAAAAAAACGAAAACTTTACGAAATATTGTTTATTTAAATCGTTCCAAAAAAAACTTATTACGAAATACAATGAAAATATAATCTTGTGACTCTCACTAACTCAACAATTTCTTATACATAACATAAACATACTTTTTTAATCACAGGTAAATTAGAACTCAAACATAATACTTGTTTTTCTTACTTAAAACACAATCAATAAAAAATATAATATTGTTAAAAATATTCAACATACAAAAATAAAATAGAAAATTAGTAAAATAATAATAAATCTCACAAAACTAAACCTACTTTGCAAATTGTTGAAAAAATAACCATAAAAACTTGGAATATGATTATTTTGTAGCAAAGTCATCAAATCAGTCTTTTTATTCTCTTTAATCGGTATTTTAGTAGTGTACCCTAGCTTTGTATCAGGAATGGTTGTTCTCTTATTTCGTGAGAGTAAATTACCTTCTCACCATTCGGTATCCGTGTAAGATGTTTTGTATTTTAAAATATTTGGTCTGTCTTTGGCAATAGTCATAATTTTTACGTCTGAGATCTTTATTTAAAGTAATACCCATGTCACTAATTAAGCTTTTTACAGTCAGTTGCAGAAACACTCATTAAATTTTTAAAGTGACCTTAAATATTAATGAGTCTTTAAAGTGTTGCACAAAATAGCATTTCTCCCTAATTTTAATGCCCCATTAACTTTATTTAACAAAATGTCAAATCGGGACTTTAGCTATTTTTACGTTGCACAAAACATCATTAGCGCTAAAGGATCATTAATTTGACAGTATGAGGTTATAATTTGTAATGCCTTGTCGAGCATCCCTTAAACGTGTCATTAAACTGTGAATTGTTTTGTAAATAGTGCTTTTTTTTTTTTTTTAAGGGGGGAAAATCATCGAATGACTGCTCCCGCCTGGGTGAGGCGGAAGGGAGTGTCAGACTCTTACTGACTAAAAACCACCCCGTTCCTTCTCCTGCACGTCGAGCCGGAGCCCCGGTTACCCGTTAGGTTCTCCGCGACTCCGAATCGGCATCGGCCCTATTGGGCCCCATCTGTGTTGGTCTGATGGCTCTTTGAGGCGCGCGCGGAACGCGACGCGCCGTACGCTCGGGTCTGTTTCTGGTCGGACGGGGAGCCACCCATGCTCGCCGTCCGCAGGCCCGCGCTTACGGTGGCCGGAGATCGTCCCGCGATCCCCGACGCCCGGTGTGTCCTTCGCGATGGCTGGGTTGCGAGGAGGCAGCGCTTCGCTGCCTCACGCGTCCCGCCTCCTCCTTAGCCAGCATGACTGCTTCGCAAAAGGAGGAGACGGCATCCCAGTCCCCCTCGCTCCGCATCATGGCCTGAACTAGGCCCGGACGCGAGAGGTCTCCATCGCCGATCACTTCCCTGAGGGCACGGCGGTGCTCAGCCCACGCAGGGCATTCCGCAACAGTGTGTTCCACCGTGTCCTCAGGGTGGTCCTCGCAGTGATGACACCCGGGCGTTTCCTCCCGCCCCATCAGACACAGGTACCTCCCGAAACTTCCATGTCCGGTGAGGACCTGCGTCAGGCGGTAGGTGAGGACGCCGTAGCGTCTCTCAAGCCACTCCTCAAAGAGGGGACTTACCGCTGCAATGGCAGCGAGCCCAGCCCTCGGTTGCGACAGTCGTTGCTGCCATTCCGCCATGAGATCGCGCCGGAGCTCATCCCGCCACGCACTTATCTGGCGCGGCAGCGGAGTTTCGCCCCGGCGACGTGCCTCCGCGCGCATGCGATACACGCGCGCGAGCACCTTCGCCTCCAGATCCCACGGCGGTAATCCGGCAAGGAGGTTCGCCGACTCCCCAGAGATCGTGCGGTATCCGCGGATCATTCGGATCGCCATGACCCTCTGTGCCATAAGCAGCGCCCGAGCGGGCCGCTGCAGCAGGTTCGGCGCCCAAACAGGGGCGCCGTAGAGGGCCATGGACCGCACGACCCCGGCGTATAACCTCCGGCAGGAGGCGTTTGGCCCCCCGAGGTTGGGGAGGATGCGCTTAAACGCAGCCCCCACCCTCGCCAACTTTGGAGCCAAACGTCGGAAGTGCTCCACGAAGTTCCATCGACTGTCGAGGACGAGTCCCAGGTACTTCATCGCCGTCTCGACGCCGATGGTAACCCCTCCCGCCATTATTTGAGACCCACCAGGAGGTGGCGCATTCCCGCGGCCATGAAAACACATGGCCTCGGACTTGTGGAGCGCCACCTCGAGTCCCAACTGCCGGATTCTCTCAACGACTGTCGCAACCGCTGTCGCCATTAAATCGGCCGCCGCCTGGTGCGACCTCCCGTGCGCTAGCACCAGCGTGTCGTCGGCGTAGCATATCATGCTAACGCCGTTCGGGAGGTCGGTGCGCAGCACCCAGTCATAACCGATGTTCCACAGGAGCGGCCCCAGAACCGAACCCTGTGGAACACCGCGTGACATCTCTCGCCGGTTCCACTCGCCCCGGTGACCGGGGTAGATGACGGACCTGTCCGTCAGGTATGCCTCGATTACACGACGGAGGTAGGTAGGCACCCGATGATATCGGAGTGCCTCCAAGATGCAGCTCCAGGGCAGGGAGTTGAAGGCGTTGGCGATGTCCAGAGACACCGCCACTACGACCTTACCCCTGGACACTGCAGTCCCCGTCGTCCGGTCCCTAACGCGCATGATGGCGTCCACCGTGGAGCGCCCTCTGCGGAAGCCGAACTGGCCGTCCGATAGGTCCGGCCCAATATCCGTCAGGTGCGCGACGAGGCGGTTCGAAATGATTCTTTCTTGTAAATAGTGCTATAGTGATTTTTTACTTTATTTCAGTATTATTTGTAAATAATACACATTGTAATGTCCCTCTCAAGCCTGCAAGTCTAACGGGTAACCGGGGCTCCGGCTCGACGTGCAGGAGAAGGAACGGGGTGGTTTTTAGTCAGTAAGAGTCTGACACTCCCTTCCGCCTCACCCAGGCGGGAGTAGTCATTCGATGATTTTCCCCCCATAAAAAAAAAGCCTTTCGTCTTTATCCGATCCCGAGCAATATGTTCCACGACGACGTCGTGTAATTCCAGATAGGATAAAATTATTTGAAAAACATAATGGAGAAGATTTTCGTGTGAGATACAGGATTTCTAAAGAAGTTGCTTTACGCATTTGCGAGATACTTAATTTAGAACCTGAAAGTCGAAGAAATAAAGCCATTGATGGCCTTACACAGTTATTGATATGTTTGAGGTTCTTCGCTACAGGATCTTTCCAGCAAGTGTTAGGCGATTTGGTTAATGTGCACAAGTCTACAATATGTAGAATAGTACAAAAAGTAACCCGCAAGCTGGCAAGTCTAAGCTCAGTGTATATTAAAATGACATTAGACAGGAATGAACTACGTAAAGTTGCTAAAGGATTTTTCTAAATTGATGGCTTTCCACGGGTGGCAGGAGCCCTTGATTGCACCCATGTGAAAACAGTTAGCAGAGGGGGTCACTACCTGAACTGTATCGTTGTAGGAAGGGATTCTTTTCTATTAACGTGCAAGCCGTTTGTGACTCTACTCTTAAAATAAGAGACCTCATAGCTCGTTGGCCTGGGTCGGTCCATGACTCAACGATTTTTAATAACTCACACATAATTATGTGCAGATTTTGAAAGAGGGAAATATGGTCCATACTGTTTATTGGGAGACAGCGGTTACTTCAATAAAAATTATCTGTTGACACCCATTTTGCGTCCTCAAACCAATTCAGAGGAAGCTTACAACAAAAGTC